CTTTATTACAAGTGTTTTGAATTCTGTATTTCCCATTTTCTTGATGTATTCCTCCTTTAACTCTGAGATTGGCAAAAGGTTTTGCTCCTTTGCAGGGGAATCTTCAGTAATATTCATTGTGCCTCTGTCCATTCTTTTGCTCTTGGTAATGGTACTTCTGGTTAGCAGAGTCTTATCCTTGGTGCAGGTTTCTAAGCTGTGTCTACAATTCGGTTTTACTTATTGCAGTTGGTACACAGCTCTTTGTTTGCAGTCACTTGTGCCACTCCCTCCAGCGAGTTTCAGGTCTGGATTCTTATACTTCCACCTTGGTCTCCATAGCCCCAACTCCTGGCTCACCACTCTCCACCTCCTGTGATACTGTGCTGAGGCTGCACTGTTGTCTTTACAACCTTTCTCCCACTTGCTGTTAGAGCTGTTCCTAGTATTAGGGAGACACCAGATGTCCTATTTAACTAGGTTGTTGGTGGTGCAGATCTTGCTGGAGCCTGTTGGCCATTAGATTTGGCAGCCACACAGACCTGTTTTGACCCATACGATGCCAAAGTCAGTGCATGCACAGTCCTGTCCCATAGCCTTTGCCTCCCTACACAAAATGGCATCCAGTTTGGCTCTAAGGGAGGCGGACTGTGCTATGAAACCCACCCTGTTCCTGCACTGCTCACCTAGGACTTGCTGCTCTGTCTTTGCTCCTGGTCAAACCAAGATAACCAGACCAGCAGGATGGGCAGTTCTTTGTCTGGGTTCACATCCTGAGCCCCTGATGAATGTTCCTTCCCACCTTGTTGCTAGTGAACTTCTTGCTGCCAGTGCAGATCAGATCGTACTTGCTGAATGACACTGGGGTATTGGTCTCTGCAATACCACACCGTTGTGTCTGTTGCTTTCCTGTGTGTCAGTCTCCAGGTGCCTCTCAGCTGTTGTTCTGTCCTCTCCTATTTCCTGGAATGTGCTCGCTAATGTTTCTTTGTTTAAACGTGTGCTTACCCTATTCTGCCATTTTGAATCTATCAATTACCTTCTGTGTGGCCTGCATCGTGCTAGGTGCTCTATTTGTAAAACCCATTTTTCTAGTTATTGAAATGTGTATTGTGTATTGAAATGTGTATTGTGTATTGAAAATGTATATTGTGCACCTGCTATGTGGAAGGCTGATACTGTGCCAAATATTGGGGAGTATTCGCGAATTGCTAATACCTTTCATAAAGCAAAAAGAATAAACTTCATCTTAAGAGAATCAAGAGATTTTCTACAAGGCACAAGATATGGGGAAATTATCTCCCTGAGACAGAAGTGGTCACATCCTTGGTATTTTTTAGACTTGCTCAGGTTTCACACAGTCCTTTGAGAACGATGCATCCAGATTTTAACTCCAGTTCTCTACTCTCTGGCGCTGCTGTTGCACGAACATTGGACGTTTGGATTCTTTGTCTCCTGACCTCTCATGTTTGGCATCTGTTTGTTGGCTTCTGTAAGAACACTTCCGAACCATTATGTGCCCATGAGCTGCTTGCAGATCCTGCTTTTGGAATGTGGGTCCTGATTCATTGGGTCTGGGGCAGCGTCTGAGAGTTTGTATTCCTAGTGAGCTTCTTGATAGTGTCGATGCTGCCAGGCCACAGATCGAACCATGAACATTCATGGGTGTCGGTGATTTCCGCACTTCAGACTGCTGGTTCCCTAAGTTTCTCTTCAGCTACACCTGTTAGTGGATCCATCCAGAGAGGTTTTAACTTCATCTGCAACTCTCCATTCCTGTAACTTCTGTTTGATTCCTTTCCAATGTGCTTGATTCTTTTTCAAAGTGTCTTGTTTATCAGATTTTCTACTTTACCTTAACAATAAAATTTTATCTCACTGTCCAGTTTAGATTCTCTCTTGCATCTCTAGGGCTTATTCTCTGTTTCTTGTATCTGTCACTGCTGCCTCATGGCCATTTGTATCCTGCAGTGGTTGGTTTGTTACAGGGAGTTGTTGGCTTTTACTTTTTTTTTAAAAAAATGCAAACTCATTTGTAGTAGGGATTGTTGCAAGTGTGTGTATAAGACACTGACTTTGTTCTCCACTTTCATCTTTCAGTGACTTGTTGGTTCATGTTGGTTTCTTAAACTGTGATCCCCACACCTTTCAGAACCTTGTAAATGTGGCTGCCCTACCTGAGGTTGTAGTCTTCTTTCCCCCCAAAGGGCTGCACAAAGGTGAGCATCCTTGTCATTTTCTGGAGGGCAGGGTATTCCCATTTCTGCATTCCTTTTGGCTTGAGTTTTTTTCTTTTTTTTTTTCCCCTCCTCTGCCTATATATAGCCTTAAAAATTCCTTTTTCAGTGTTTCTTGTACTTAACCGATGACCTCTCCAGAGGCTTACACTCTTTTTTTTTTTTTTTTCTTTAAATGAATTTGTGAGGCAGGGAGAGAACATAGGAGCTCTTACCCTCAAATGCCTGTCCCAGCTAGGACTGGGCTGGGGTGAAACTGGAAACTTAATTCAGGCCTCCCACGTGGATGGGTGGGCACTGATGGTCACTGCTGCCTCCCAGGGTCTGCCTTAGCAGGGAGCTGGAGTCAGCTGGTAATCAGGGGACTCTGCTGCTGGACACAGGTGTTTCTACCTCTGTACTAAACACCTGCCCCCACACCCTAGCCTTTAATTCATGTGACGACTGCTTCACCTATTACCCAGTCCACTTTGAGTTGGCACCTTCATGCTGTCCACTGGCAGATTCTCTGTTTTTCCAATCTTGACCATGTTAAGCTAGTTTTGAGCGCGTTGGAGTTGTGCAGATGAATCTTATTTTATAGTATGGAACTCGGAAATCATTATTTCACGGAGGGTGGATCCTACCGCCTCAGTTAATCATAGTCCTCACTCAAGAAACAGAGTTCTATTTTCGTCTGCTCAAGATAAATGAAGGATATAGTAGCAAGGGGGTTCAACCGCTGCTGGGAAGGAGAGGATGTGATATGATTAGCATCAGCATCCACCTGATGTGTTCCTGCGCCTTGGGCAGGTAGGCAGGCTCCTCCCAGAACTGTGAGGTCTGTCACCCCATGCACATCCCCTGTGTACTAGCAATCATAAATGGATGCCAGTGATCTCTACAGGGTGTTTACTGATTACTAGGCGCTACATTCAGCACTTGAGAGGTGCTTCCAGATGAACTATTCCCTTGTTGAACTGAGAGCACCACGGAGCTGGTACATGGCCGAGCTGGGATTGTAACGCAGAGTCCACGGCCTGTGTATCATGGACTGTCATGTTTCCACAACAGTGTCATCCATAAATGGCTCTCCAGTCTCCCTCCATCTGGGTCCTCTTATTTCAGGATTGGGAATTTTTTGTTGTTGTTGTTTTGTTTAAAAATCAAGTATTAGGAAATTGAAATCAGGTTGGGTAGAGCCAATACCGGTGAGAGTACACGTGGGATGTGGGCTGAAGCATTACATCTGATTGAAATTTTAAAGTATTAAATGAGTAGCTGTAAATTCCCTCCGGAGGGGAGAGCGCTGGGAGGTGTTAGGGAACTTTCTGGTTGCCCCTTCCTCCCGCCCACCTTGTCTGGGTGCACCTGACTCTGCAACCTCCGTGCTTTGGCAGCCAGACCCCCTGTTTCAGCTGCTCCCCTCTCCGCAGCCCTGCAGCTCCGCCGCCACCGCCTGGGCTGTTGTCATCGGGGAACTTTGCAGACAGATTCTTTGAGTCTGTAAGCAGAAAACAGACTGCTGCTCATCTGTGGTACACGGCTTTGTCCAGAACCGGAGGAGTTAAAGCTACAAGTCAGGGCTGCCGAAGGGCTGTGACAAGTGTCCTAGGGGGAGCTCTAGCGAGCCCTGGCGGGCCGTGACTCATGCTGCTCTGTCACTCAGCTCGGGCACTGGCCCCTGCCACGCAGACAGCTAGCCAGGCGGAGGTTAGAGCCCGAGCACGCACGGAGCCGGCACTGCGAGCCTGAGCCCCAGCCGGCAGCAGGCAGCCTGCACTGCTGAGGGGATGTGATGCCCGGCTCGCCCAGTCGCCCCCCTGGCCAGCGCGCCCGGACGCCTGGGCCCGCAGCCATGGTAACGCTTGTGGCCAGAGTGGCCCTCGGGAGACCACGGCGATGGGTAGCGTCTTGGTGACCCATGGCCCAGTGTCCACCGCCCTGACCGAGCGAGCTTAGTAGGTCTCAGCAGCCGCCGAGAGAGGATGTGAGGTGCCCCGAGCCGGGAGTCGTGCCCTGGCGAGGTAGGAGGGTTGCCGCAGTTGTGCGCCCGTGCGTTCCCGGCCCGGCGGGCGCGCGCGGGGGAGCTGTAAATCACCAGCAGCAACTTTGTCCGCCTGGTTTCTCCTTATGCTGATGAAACTGCGGCGGACCAGGGGGGCGCCATGGCGCCGGGGAGCAGGGCAGTCAGACGGAGGAAAGTGGGCGCCGAGATCCCAAGTGGCATGCAGAGATGAGTGAACCCGACTGCAGCGCTGCCCAGCGCCCCTAGCCTGCTCTCGCCTTCCCTGTCCTCCCGCCCTCTTCCAGTTAAGCCGCAGGAAGGCAGAAGTTCTGTCTCACTTCATCAGCACTAAATACCAATAATTTGCACCTGTCTGCAAGAGAAACGCAGCGAATAGGTGTAGGTTTCGCCTGGCACCCAGGCAGTGGCCAGCGGCTGCTCCTAGGGAAGGCCTTCTGGAAAGACCAGAGGGGAGGGTGGCCGGCTCCCGTTGAGTTGCCCAAGTTCTCCAGGTGGTCCAGGCGACCTGTTTGAGTTTATCCTTGCCCATGCCCGGGCCGGGAAGGCGTTCTGTCTGCGGGTTGGTGGCCATGTTGGCAGGGAAGGGGTTAATCTCTTGTTGCTGAAGGAGCCCAGGCTGGGTCTGCCTGAGCGAGGAGGAGCTGGATTGAAAGCAGGCGCTGCAGTGCTGTCGCCAACGCCGGAGGAGTAAGGCGCTGCTCTCCGCACCAGTGTTAAAATCCCTCTGAAAAAAATTTTTTCTCTCCCCCCCACCTCTCTTGTTTTTCTTTAACCAGCTCCACCTCCCTTCGTTCCCACCCTCAAGTCTGACGATGACACCTCCAATTTTGATGAACCAGAGAAGAATTCGTGGGCTTCCTCCTCTTCGTGCCAGCTGAGCCCCTCGGGTTTCTCAGGCGAAGATCTGCCATTCGTGGGGTTTGCATACAGCAAGGCGCTGGGAATTCTCGGTAGATCTGAGTAAGTACAAATCTGACTTTTGCTAAAGAACCTGCATTGAGGCAAAGGCATAGGGAGCCAAAGGTGGTGGTAGTGGTGGCAGTGGTGGTGGTGCTGGCCGCACTGGGAAGTGGGGGCAGTGCAGGGAAGGGAGGCATACTGGTGAGCCTGCATTTGGCAAGTCAGCTACCTGTTTGGGTTTCGGTGGGGGCAGCTGTGAATATTGTCATTCTGCGGTGTGCAGGGTACTTGTCCTGCTGGGAGCGTCGTCATTGTCGACTGGGCACTTTGGGTTAGTTTTTTCAGTCTTTGCTCTTCTTCAGAGGGGAAGGAGGTGGTGGTGATCGGATTGGGAGGGTGGTAGTGGTGGTGGGGGGAAGTCTTAACAGTCTGGCTCCTGGCTGAAAGGCGAGGGTACAGGAATTGAGACGAGCCATCCATCCGTGTCACCACCAGTGTGTCTGTCTCAGGTGGGTGGATGGTTACTGTCTTGGCTGTGTAGGGTTGGTGGGTGGGGGGGCTAGGTGGGGAGATGGTCAAACACGGTGTCTCATAAGCTCAAGGTGTCCTGATGGGTTCAACTGAGCTGCAAGTGGCTGAAGCAGAGCTTGCCCAGAGACGGTGCTCGGCTGCTCTCCAAGTCTGCTGCAAGATGAGGGACCTGGCAGTCCAGTCCCTCGCCGGGAGGGAGTGTGATGCATGTAGCTGGGGCGAGTCCCTGATTCACGGAACCTGGGCTTGGCAGGGAAGCAAACAGATTCAGCAGACCGGGTGTTGGGGATATGGAGATAGGAACATCCCCGGGAATCTCCCTGAGCTGGTGGGTCTCCCTGCCTGCTTCTCCAAGCTGTTGAGCCATGCACCAGCACAGGCAATGCTTGGGACCTGAGCGTCCTGGCTGCTGGCCCCGTAGAATTTCTGTAGAATGCAGCAGCCTGGATGGATTGGGAGCCGGTAGGGATCGCTTCGTTCCTGGCCAGCTGTGCTGACATTCTGTTTTCGGATGAGCAACTTCCCCAGGCAGGTCTTTTCCCTTGGCTGCTATCGCTTACTTTGCAGCTCTCGCGGGTAGCCTTCAGGGGTTACTTCGGTGGTTACAGCATCGGATCTGCTCCTTGACAGCTTTGGTTCCCTTGCTGGCGTGCCTGTAGCTTAGCCCTCGGTCTGAGGGGCTGGCTCCTTGGCTCCTGGATGGTGTTTCCCCCAAGCATCTATTTGGACAGTCATTTCAGGTGCTGGTGGGGAATTGGGTATTTGACAGGGGAAATTGGACTACAGGCTGTGATCAAATGTGAGAGGGGTTTTGATATTGTGTGTTCTTCTTTCCCTCCCCTGCCTACAGTCTGGGTTTAGAATACGGGTTGGGTTTTGGTAGCACTGACTGTATCTCTGTGGTGGATTTTCCCCATAAGCCCAAAACAGACTGGTTGATGGCAAGGAGAGGCAGAAAGCTCACTAGCTGTGGACTCTGCCACCCGAGGGATTGGAAGCAGCTCAGCAGAGCTGGGGTGGGGGGCGGGAGGGTGAGGTCTGTGCACTGGCAGGAGGGCAGGTGGGAGGAAGCAGAGGACCAACGTTGAAGGGCGCGTGGTTAGTGGGCAGTATATAACCTTGACACACACGGCATGCTGAAGGTCACGGATCAGACAGGAAGGTGCTGTAGGGGAGCAAGTTCTGGTTAGTCCTAGACCAGCTGGGCCAGAGTGGGTGCTCCCTTTTAGGTGTGACTTGCGAGGATATGGGTAGAGGGCGCTAGGTATGGGGTGAAGGTAATGTAGGAGTGATGTGGAGGCTTTCAGGCACTGTAATTAATCGGAGGTCTCGTGTGATTAATCGCTTAGGTTCCAGGAGGACACTAACTGCGTCTTTCTGCTTTTTAGAGGGAGCTCAGTCGAGGAAGCTCTCTGGCAGGGGTGTCTCAGCGTTGAGGCCCAGGCAGCGGGTAAATCAGACCAAGCACGGTCTGATTTGCTCACCATCCTTCCCTCCTAAAGGTGTTGACATTGCTTGATGTTTGTGAAGCTTTGCTGTTTCTCCTTTGGTGATTCCAAAGTGCGCCTGCCAAGCCTCAGATGAGCTTCTGTGTGTGTCCCGACAGAAGGTTTCATCTGATGCTCATAAACACGAGATCCAGAGCAAACAGAACCTTGTTTCCTGTCCAGAGGATGGAACCGCGGACAGCCCCATCTCTGAGGAAACCCAAGTTCCATCTTCACCATGGCAATTTGAGGTTGGAGTTCCAAAGACTTCCTCTCCTCTGGCATTGTGATCGCGTGATGTCACCATGGCACTTGGCGACCTCTGCTGTGGACAGCGCTTTGGGGAAAACTACAGCATCGTGGTAGACAGGCACTCCACCTGTTGGATGCCGGCGACCCTGGGTGTGTCGCATCGGGATGAGTTAGAAATGCACTGAAAGAAGCAGCGGTGACATTACCCAGCAGCCTCTGCTGTTTCTATTGGCGCAGTTACAAGGTTCATTTGGGAGCGGGTCGAGGGGGCATTTTCTGGGGGTGCCACCGTTGCGTCTCTGTTTCCTCTTGTCGTTCTCCCCCTCCCTGTTTTTGGCATCACAGGCTTTTAGTAAGACCTGATACTCTTTGTTTTATTGTTGTTTTGACACCACTGAGGGAGGGGCTGTAGATCCTGCTGTGCTAGGCTTCCTGAATTGACCCTGCACTTGTTACAAATGAAACGGCCAGAGGAATTTCTGTAGAGACCTTGGCAGTAAGGATGACTTTGATGATGGTGATCAGTCCTCACCTGTAAGGTTCCTTTCTTTTGGGGGGTTCCAGCCTGTCTTTAAGCCAGCTATTGAGTGCATCATTATTTTAGGCTTGGCAGGAATTTTGAACTCAGTGTTTCAGCGGATGGGGCCTGGTGGGAGTCCCTGGTCAGTTCAGTTGGTGTTAGTGGGAGGAACAACAGAGAGCTAAGGTTCGGCTGACTTCAGGGTGGTATTAACAGCAGAGGTAGTTTTCGGGAGCATCTGTCTGGTGCCTCTCTCTCTTTTACAGATTTATTTATATTTATTGGAAAGAGATTTACAGAGAAAAGGAGATACAGACAGAAGGATCTTCTGCTGCTGGCTCACTCTCCAGGTAGCCATAACGGCCAAAACTGAGTTAATCTAAAGCCAGGAGCCAGGAGCTTCCTCTTCTTGGTCTCCCAGGTGGGAGCAGGGTCCCAAGGCTTTGGGCAATCCTAGGCTGCTTTCTCAGGCCACCAGCAGGGAGCTGGATGAGAAGCGAAGCAGCCAGAATATGAACTGGCAGCCACGTGGGATCGCTTGCGTGGCGAGTACGTTAGCCACTAGGCTACTGCGCCAGACCCACATCTTTCTCTTTTTAACCAACAATAAGCCAAATCAAATCCCCAAGCTCTGGATGCCTGTGTGTTCCTCTGAGCCTATTTGCTTAAACTCTACCATAGTAGGGTAGTAACAAGCCAGCGTGTTAAAGGTTTAAAAATAAAACAGATTCAGCGTGCTTCCCTCCCCTGCTGGCATGGTGTGCATTTCTTTAGGTCTCCCCTCCTTCCTCCTAGGTGGAGGCGCTGCCCCATTTAAGCCCTTACTGCATGAGGCAGTGCATTTTTGCAAAGCTTTAGCAAGACCGCTGCACACTATAAACCACTTGGTCTTTTGCTTGTGTTATTTCCTCAAGCGCTGGACTTTGTTTTTTGGAGAAGTTGGAATGGTTGGAGGAACAGTGGGAGCTGGATGAGGTGGGAATCTGTGGGAAGACAGGGTCTGCGTTGGCTGTTTTGGGGGCAGGACTTCTCTCAGGGCTTTTTCCTTTCCTCTTGGAGGGTGTAGAAATATGGTGAGGGAACCGGCCGTTCCCACACAGTGGTGGAGTGTAGGGTGGCCGCCACCACTGCCTTCCCAGCCTTACGGAGGCCTGGCAAATGGTGTTTCTTTCCTGCTCTGTTGGGCTTTTTTTTTTTTTTTAAAGATTTATTTTTATTATTTTTTCATTGGAAAGGCGGATATACAGAGAGGAAGATCCTCCGTCCGATGATTCACTCCCCAAGTGAGCGCAACGGGCCGATACTATGCCGATCCGAAGCCAGGAGCCTCCCCCGGGTCTCCCACGCGGGTGCAGGTTCCCAAAGCCTTGGGCCGTCCTCGACTGCTTTCCCAGGCCACAGGCAGGGAGCTGGAAGGGAAGCGGGGCTGCCGGGATTAGAACCGGCGCCCATATGGGATCCCGGGCGTGCAAGGCGAGGACCTTTAACCACTTGCGCCACCGCGCCGGGCCCTGTTGGGCTTTTTTGCATGTCACTTTTCTTAAAAGGGGATGGCAAACAGTGACACCTTTCTCCTGGGGCCATCAGCGAGGAGTGGGGTCGGGGTTGGTTAAATGAAATATGCAAAAGCATCGGAAAAGCCTTGATACACATCTGCTGTGAATGGTTTTGACTGTCGCTGATATGCTAGTCTGTGTATGTGTAGTGACCATCTGTACATGCCAGCGTAATATGGGAAGAACCTGGGAACAGCTAAGTGCGGAGCTGTGTCTGAGTTGGAACCCAACTTCCATGGCCCCAGGGGCTTGGTTGTTCTAGAGACGCTTACAAGTCCTGACCAATCATGAGGGTTAATATGCAGTTGCCAAATACCTGTTGGCCAAGGCAGCAAGTCTCTGAGGATGGGGTGGGGGAAGGATCAAATGGGAAGGCCCAGTTCCGGAGAGGCTGCCTTCTCATCATGCTGGACAGGTCATACTGGCAAGGCAGAATAAGGCAAAGTCTTGACAGGGCAATGCCCGTTCAGAGTTCTTGCTGAGCTGCCCAAGTGATCTTCCATGTATTGACTGTGACCTCCATGCTAGGTCTTATTCCCCCTGGTGTTTTCTGGAGCACAGAACATGGTAGGCTCTCAGTAAATACATGTACTGGAACTCAGTGAATGGGTTTACCCATGGAAGGTAAGATATTGGTGTCAGCTCTGTTGGATTTGGACCCATGGAGAAGAATACAGGGGAGAATTGGTCATCCTCATGGGGTCCCCACTCCAC